TGAGGGCCCTATGTCATGTGGTACATTTCTAGTGTATCTGAAACAGTGTGGGTCATCTCTGTTCCACCAAGGTGGCGATCAAAGCCAAAACACTGCTACAGAAAGCGGAAAACGGGACTGAATGCTGTATTCACTGATTCTGATCAGACTACCTCACAAAAACATCCATAGTGCCAGGGGGAAGTCGAGAGACAGAGGTCGGGTTCGCGCTCTAACCACTGAGTCATCTCGCCCAAAACGTCCGGATAAGGTTGATTGGTGCGAATATTGTCAGGGAAGAGGCTTTGAATTCATTATTCGTCCACAGGCGTTTGTTTGTTAGCTGTTACCTCGGTTGATCGATAATTTTTCAGCGGATTTGTCCATCCGCATTTCGCAGCTTGCGTCTCAGCTTACTGCAATTAGTAAAACATAGAGACACTGAAATGAGCAGCAGGTTTATGACTATTTGAGTTGGAAAATGTCACGTGGAGCGGAATATGGCTAATCATTAGCATGACGCCATTTTATAACCGTTGGCTTCTTCACACATAAAGATTGGCCACAGTAATTTGGAAACATCCATGCAAGCTAAATCGTTCACACATGCCTTGTCAGCACAGTTCCCGGTCCTAGTAACACTGCATCCGCGTCCAGGGACAGGAACTACTGAAGAACTCGTTACACAGGGGAGATATCTGGGCACTCTGATTGGTTGGCCTGTTTGAGACGGGGCTCAAGTACGATGGCTTAAGCATACTGTTTTGATGTGCGGTACTGTGGCTGTTCTGGAGATATTGGGAAACACGATGAAGGCAAAGACACTACATTCGATATCAACACTCAGTCAGTCGGTGGAAGTCTTTCACAGCAGTTGAATTCGCATGATAGATGCACAATGAGCACATAGAAACTCTACCAACATTTCATCTCTCGAAATTTGTGCGTCCGTATTCAATCAATCAAGTGTGTTGAAGCAAAAGTAGATAGACAGCTGGCAATCGCCTTCACGCAGTAAAACTGCTCCTTTTGTGACCGTTGTCAAGGTTACAAGCCAGACGTTAGAGAAAACGCGTAAACTGCAGTGGAAAACCCAGGTATACGCAAGTATCGATAGGCTGAGATAAGGTATCAACGAAAATCAGAGCCTACGAATGTATATCTTTGGTGTGATCACTAAGTTGCATTCCGACTGTTCCAGAAAATTCAGCATGATTCACCAACTGATTTACCTGCGTTCACCCGTTTTCAAAATTGAGATTGACATCACGTGCCCCTCAGATGCCTACCCAATTTATAGTCGTGATTGACGTAATCAGCCCATTCGACCATGATGGCAGACAGAATTTCAGATAGTAATAACACCACACGACGATCTAAAGGGCGTGGCCGGCTTCGAGGATCTCTGCCCCCGAGAGATGAAGCGGCAGGTCAGCCAATTCATCGGGTCTGAAGTATGTCAGTATGATCCATCTTAGGACCATCTCAGAATTGGGGAATTAACGTGTTGAAGTGGATTCAAAAATTCTAGTCTGAGGTGTGTATACCATCTGGCAAGAGTGCTGCGGCCTTTTGTACTGATTGCGTTGGTTGTTAGCCGAGATGGCTCGGTGGTTAGAGCGCAGATTTACCGGCCAGAAGATCCGTAGTTCCAACCCAACCTCTGCCAGGTGCGCCAAATTATCCACTGTTTTCAACACTCCGCGACACTCTCCAGGTCGTCCTGAAGGCGTCAACACCACTTCGAAGTACTCACTACATCTTTTTGACCATTTTGCGTTACCACGTGTTCCACTGTTTCAACGCTCCGCGACACTCTCCAGGTCGTCCTGAAGGCGTCAACACCACTTCGAAGTACTCACTACATCTTTTTGACCATTTTGGGTTACCACGTGTTGTACCCAGGCGTGTCGCAAGCTAAGATCAATTTGCCATCTCCTCTGGGCTTTCTTTGGACTTGCACTACTTCGTTCAACAGTTTAGACGGAAACCCCCATAATTTGAGGTTTGTACCCCTTTTATTACGTATTTTATACATGTAGTACCGCATCTTTCGATAAACCTCAAGAGTCCACAATTTCTGGCTTGTGATTTTGCGCGTCACTCAAGTGGGCT